CAAGAGAAGATAGTTAACCGGTCATTCAGACCAAGGACGCCACTTCGGCCAAAGGCCACCGTGTCAACATCCAAAGCGTTTCGACGTTTCCCCTGGCAGAGGAAACCGAGCAGTAAGTAACATAACTACCTCAACCCAGCAAACGGGCTCCGAAAGTCACATAACAACCACCAGAACCTGGAGGCGTCCCACCTGTGGATATTCAATAACAAGTCAGTTAAATTATGAAGGTAAAAAGTATAGCATCTTTATAAACATGGCGTAAGACACTCATGATCATGATTATAAAAGAATCATGGTTATCAATCCATCCAGTACAGTAGAATAAAGGAAACACTCAGTGATTGCTCATCTTTCAGGCAACCAAAAAACTACAACCAATAGCACATCAACACTGTAATCAAGTTCACAAAGCGCACCACTTGGTCTGAGAAGCGATCTCCTCCACGCAATAATTGAACTGCATCGCCGTCCACGCCTGTATCTTTATCAAAGTTTATCCTGGGAACAAGTACCCAGAGAAGGAATGGAATGTATAATGTAAGCAGGCGTAAGGGCTGTCACGCTGAGTGACACTAAGCAGCCTTGTGAACCTTCTGGAAAGGTTTTGTGTGCTACAGGGTTGGACTCGCATGCAAAAAAGCGTTTGAGATATTTCGTAAGCTTACATATGTAACATTTTAGAAAACAAAAGTTAAACGGTATATTGAGGATCGATTAACATTACAAATTAATGCTACATCATTCACTAAACGGCCTTCTCCCAATAGTCTTATGCAGTTCTCTTGTTCTTTTTGAAAAAGACGAGGCATTTTTGAGAAAATAAAATTATACTGTCAAGTCTTTAGTCAATATTATTGTTTGAGGTGTAGATACTTAGGATGGAATCGGAGAAACGTCTTATTTGCATGGAGAGGGTAATGCAAAAAAAAAAATACGAGGACGAGCCGAAATACATTTATTGCGGGAAGTTAAAAATTCGATAATTTGAGCTATAGCCGACTTTCGAAAAACTTGAGAAATCGCAGGGTAGTTCAAAGATTCAAAATCTGCATAGAATAAATTTGCAACATCAAAAATTGAGAATATGACACATTCCTAAACATTGCTGAAAAAACATGACTTCCTTTGATCGAGATTTGAATTTGGGTAATATTTTCCAAGCTGCAAAGCGACTGTCCACCAGCTTTGAAGCACATTTGGGCCATGCTAGTCTTCAATGCCTTCAAAGAACGAGCATTATATACAAACATGAAACAAGAACATTTGACCCGCAACATCCGCGGTTTATTCCTCTTACGGCCGATGCTGTATCTTTCCAGCCGCCCGATATGATTAACTGCATAGTGCATATATCTGCGTGTGGAAGTGCAATTTAATGGCCGTTAAATCAATTACGGCAGGTCATGGTGTATTGTATTAATTGCTTGGCTAATTGAACAAATTGCGATATTGGCTATTTCAATTTAACCTTTATCTTGCAAGTGTGTAGGTGTAACGATTGTTGTTAGGTACAATTTCAAACCTTGATAATTTGTCGTCACCTGTGGACCACTGCTTTATTGCCATGCCACAGCAGAACGAACTGGAATACCATGAGGTGTTTCATGTCCGTAATTGAGATCGCAATGATAAGCCCTTATCGGCTATCACTTTAGCACTATTTGCAAAAAGAAATGTACTATGAAAAATGGCGCCTAGTAGATTGACTATACAGTGTGTCCCATATACGCTTCTATATACAAGGATCTCGGTTCCTGGTATACCTACAAGGTTGAATGGGGAAGATCCAAGAGGAGGCTTAGGGCTATCGATAGCGAAAAACCGAAAATAGCGGAATTTATTTTTTTGCCAGTAAATCCAAAACTGTTAATTTGACAGCTGTCCACATGTGACATTATTCGGACATTTTTGTAAGAATAATAACATAGCATGTATGACATGTTTTAATGTTCTTTTGTTTCCCAGCAACTAGCCTCAACTTTCATTTTTCTTACTGGATTCTTTGTTTTTTGAAAAAATTGTAAAGTCTCCGGTCTAGCGATGTCTCACAAGTGCATAAAAGATTGGAGTATCATCGTAATATCATCATACGCAATGTTATGTACCTACTATTCGTTTTTTTTCTAATTAGGCCATGATTTGTTTGGCAGAAAATAACATTAATGAGCAAGGCATAAAAACACATAAACGTCTTGAATTTCACTGATCAACAGCCAAAAAATATCCTAAATAAAATCAACAAAAAATTACTATTTTTAATGTGCTAAAACCGGAATGAAACTTATTTTTTCAATATTCTTCCAAGTTTTAGAGATACGGTAATTATATGTGTTCCTGCTGTGACAGTGTTAATATACTGTAATTCACAAGAATGCACGTGCTACATTTTTATATTCGGCAAGGGAAGATGATATAATCGGCATGATTGTGTTACGTTATACATACGTGTACATTATATTGTTTTATATTAGCCATTTTTTCCTCAGTTGGCTGACAGCGTTCATGCAAGATGTCTCGAAAGTGTGTAAACAATCCAGATCAGTTTTGTTACGTGTGTGGTGATGTGACTTTTGCGTCTCAGAGACGGTCTATTACTTCACTAATAACAAAGGCATATCAGCTTTATTTCGGTTGTAAACTAGGTGATCAAGACAAACAGTGGGCACCCTACATCTGCTGTAATACATGTGCTTCAAAGTCTGAGGAGCTGGTTAAATGGCAAAAAACGGTCTATGCGCTTTGCTGTCCCAATGGTTTGGAGAGAGCCTACAAATCATATTAATGATTGTTACTTTTGCATGGTACCTTGTGTTGAACAAGCCACAGGTATGTTCAAGAAAAAAAAATCGGTTATTAACTACCCAAACATACCATCTGCGATGAGACCTGTGCCTCACAGTGACGAAAATCCTATTCCAAAACCCCCAGAATCCTACACTTGCGAATCAGAAAACGAATCAGATCATGGCGATCGAGTGATTCGTCAGGAAGAAGATATGCCATCAATGTCAAGAGATCCTGATTTTATACCGAGCACGTCATGCCACCAACCGCACAAAATAACACAGTCAGAATTAAATGATCTTGTAAGAGATTTAGAACTTCCAAAATGTAAGGCAGAGTTACTTGGATCAAGACTGCAGCAGTGGAACTTGTTAGAGGACGATGTTTCGGTATGTGTTTTTCGTAAACGCCACAAAGCCATTTTTCAATATGGAGAATAACTTGGTTTTCTGCAGTAACATTAACGGCTTACTGGCGGCTTTAAATATAAACTATAACCCAGAAGAATGGAGATTGTTTATAGACAGTTCAACATTGAGTTTAAAGGCAGTGTTATTGCATATTGGAAATATTTTACCATCTCTTTCTGTAGGGTGTGCAGTTCATATGAAAGAATCATATGACAATATGAAGTACCTATTGACATGCACAAAATACGATGAGCACCAATGGCATACTTGTGGCGATTGGAAAGTTGTTGCACTTTTACTTGGGCTGCAGCTAGGCTACACAAAGTTTTGCTGTTTTTTGTGCGGAGGGACAGTCGGGCAAAGGCACTTCATTACACCAGACAAAACTGGCCTGTTCGTCAATTCCTAGAGCCATGTCAAAAAAATGTACAGCATATGCCATTAGTAGATTCGAAAAAAAAATTATTACCATCACTGCATATCAAGTTGGGCCTATTGAAAAACTTTGTCAAGGCATTAGATAGAGATGGGTCAGCTTTTCAATACCTGCGTCAGAAATTTCCAAGACTAAGTGAGGCAAAGGTTAAAGAAGGTATTTTTGTTGGGCCACAGATTCGAAATATTTTGAAAGATACACAGTTTGAAAACACTTTAACAGGTATTGAAAAAACTGCTTGGAATGATTTCCGTCTGGTGGTCACTAATTTCTTGGGAAATAGAAAAGCTGACAACTATAAAACCCTTGTCAAAAATATGCTGTCATCGTATCAAAAGATGGGCTGTAATATGTCTCTTAAGATACATTTCCTACACTCACACTTGGACTTTTTTCCTGACAATTGCGGAGCCGTAAGCGACAAGCACGGCGAACGTTTTCATCAGGATATTTCAACAATGGAAAAAGGTACCAGGGAAAGTGGAATCCTTCCATGCTTGCAGACTACTGTTGGACTCTTGGTAGAGATGCTCCAGAAACGATCCATAAAAGAACAGCAAAAAGACAGCGCATATAGTGATTCTTATAAGTATATGAATCTTGTTACTTTTTTTAATATATCCTTAAAAATAAAAAGTTTTTTTTCTAAACCGCAACTAATTTTTTTATTTCATTGTCATTTTTGGATTCAGCGCCCCAAAATTAACAAAGAAATGCACTTTTCCCACAAGATACAGTTAAAAAACTAAAATTTGTTGTCCAGTGTAGAATATTAACGTTAATATCGACTTCTCAACAAGGCACTTGTTTTGGAATAAATTTCCAACTATGAGTGTGTCAGAAAAATCGTCGTAAATTTATTTTACACTTGAAGCGACAAACATTTTACAAGATTGTAATGTAATGTAAAATCTCATTATGCAAGTGGGTACTAATTTACAGATTTGCAAAATAACGTCAATTTGCAGACATTTTGGCAGTTGGTGACTGTTTTTCGTACAATCCTAGCTAGTGTATTTTTTGTTAATGTTTGACAATTTTTCTTAGTCAGATTTATGGTTTTAATGAGAGAAAACGATCCTACTACTTATTAAAACACAATTTTAATACTTTGAATCGTTTAACGTCAAAATCAGAGCCTCCTTAGATGAAACAAGGCGTTTCTAACTTTCCTCTAAAACTTTCCCCTTTGCTCTAGATATATCAGGAGCCGATACCCCTGTATAAAGAAACGAATTTGGGACACACTGTATGCTGATCGCCTTACAGTTAATAGATTTTCTTTTTACAAAATGAAAGGGGGATGCGTTTTTAAGTAAAATCGTGAGTACCTGGAGTTAACTTCCTTTTATATACGACAAACTTACCGATCGATTCTAGCAAAGCGTAGAATAACTTGGAAGCTTTGGACTCTGCCCTCGCGATATTTACAGTCTGCAACCTTCAGGTCGCCCAACATGGAACAAAAAACGTCTTAAAGTACAACAATGGGTATATTTGCAATATAAATTTGCGCAAACAAATATCGGAGGTGAATTGGTAATGTTGTTTGTACGGTAAATACGTTCGAGAAAAAAAATGTGTTAACAACCTCTTCGCTATGCGGATTCTTTTAATGCTCTTACAACGCCATAGATGTAAACATAATGCGGATAATACATGCTGGTCTGCATAGACATATAATACAGTCCATCTGGAAATGGAAACATTTTTTGTCGACACAGAACTTTTATTGAATTGAATAGTAAAATCATAAGATAAAATTTGTGAAAAGTTCCTGCAGAATTTTGTTATCAATTTCGTCTTTCTATTGCTTTGGATGGATATTGCAATGCTTTTATGCGCAAGCAGAAGCCTAAATGCCAGGGCGAAGCTTTGTTAATCCCATTTTTGAACTGTCTAGTGATAAAAGAACTGGGAGAGCCTCCTTAGGTAGATTGCTTCACAATCTTTATATCCTAGGGACAAAGGAGCGGTCATATCGGCGAGTTCTGGATGTACGAATTTCGATACGATTAGGATGGGAGGCAGAGTCTGTCTGGAATCATGGACGAGAGCTGTGAGGAGCAAAGCCCTTTGTCTTAACGGCACAAGAGAGACGAGATGGCCGACATCTTGTTCCGTGCAAAAAGATCCCAATCAATCGGATATTCATCCTAAAAACACCCGTTTTGACATTGTGGGATGAAGAGGGGAGAACTTTTTAATTACGACGGATATCTTGCGGCCAGGAAGGTAGTCAGCAGTGTTTGATCATCGTACAATACGTCGTGAAGAGCTGCTTTTATCTTTCATTTATGCCTAGAGTGGGAATGCGAGAAGATTTTCAACAGGTCACCGAGTCTGATAGGGGCGAATAGTGGACTTATGTGCGGCTGGTTGGTCAATCAGGGTGCGCAAAAGTCTAGATACGGTGGTAGTTTGATGTCTGGCATGGAATCAGGACGGCCGTCCATGAAGGGCGTGTCAGAAGATCGTAAATTCACGGGAATTAAGAGTTGTGGAAAGACATTTTAAACAATTCCTTTCCATTTAAAAAATCATATTTCTCACACTTTATCACATCTGAATGGTCTTTGATGATGGGCTATTCATTAAAATGGGTAATTTCAAGGGTTCTGCACATATACTAAGTCACATATAAATCCGAACACCCAGTTTAAATGGTTCTATTTTAATAAAATTTTGTATAACTACTTAATGAAGCATAATAAGTAAATGATAAAAATTTCAAAATGATTGCACTGCTTTAAAGCCCTTTGACCTTTAATAATGTGTGGATGCACTCTGATGTGCTACGCATTATCCAACGCGCCTAGGCATGCTTCTGATCAGGTGGTCAATGTCCTCCTGTGGTATCTCATTCCAGGCAACCACCAACTCCTCTCGAAGTGCTTCTAGAATCTGAGGAGGACGTTGCAAATTGAGCAATCTCCTACCCATCATATCCCACACGTGCTCAATTGGGGATAAGTCGGGAGATCTTGGTGACCATGGTAACAATGTGACATCATTGTGTTGAAAGAAGTCTATTGTGACTCTTGCAACATGTGGCCAGGGTGTCAAGATAGGGTAAAAGATGGGGTTCTAGAACTTGGTGGATATAACGCTGCGCGTTCATGTTACCTCTGATGAAGATTAAAGGTGACCTGGGACCATAAGCTGTAGCACCCCAAACCATAACTCCAACAGTGTGATGAACATGTCTTTCAACAAAAAACTGTGGATTCCTCCTTTCACCACGTCGCCTTCTAACCCTGGCACGACCATCGTGCACGCCTGAACAAAATCGAGACTCGTTACTAAAGACAATACTGTTCCATTCCTGATCCCAGAGTGACCGTTGTCTGCACCACTCAAGGCGATTACGTCGGTGTTCTCGAGTTAAAGGGAGGACCCAGTGTGGCCGGTATGAAAACAAGCCAAAACTCCTCATTCGTCGGTAAACACTTCGCATGCCAATAGGTCTTCCATATTCTGCAAACCATTCATTTCTCTTAAGACCAATAATCTTAGGCGGCGATCTTCACGGTCTGTTGTTCTACGGCGGCGTCCAGTGCCCCTTGCTCTTTGCGTACGGCCTTCTCGAAGCCATGCCTGACAACACCTAACCACAGTGTCTACACTTCTTTGCACTCTAACTGCAATTGCTGAAATATTCATTTTTAGAGCGTTAGTGAATTTAAGAAAAGCAGTATAAAAACCGGAATGTCCAACTGGTAAGGCTGAAAATTTTTTCACTTGTTATTTACAGTAAGATAAATACGTTCACCAACTTTTATTAAAATAAAACCATTTAAACTGGGTGTTCGGATTTATATGTCACTTAGTATAATTGCATTACTGACGCTTCATAGTTTCATAGTTCTGCTACATTGGCGTATGTAACAACTAACCCTTGTTAGTTACTGTTTGCTCCCTCCCCAGTTTTTCGACATTTGATGCGTCTTTTGAGAAGAGCTACATTGCCTTTGACCAAAATCCGTGTTTTTCCTAGAGCTGTATTCCTAGCACTATTTATTGTTGTCTTTCAGACCGTATTGTTGGATCCTTGCTCATAGATTAAAAGTTCGTCAGTTCTGTTAAAAAGAAAGAGTTGTACCCTTTAAATGGAATAAAACAAATTTTCCTACCTGCTTACTCCAAAGTTGAGCTCTCTTGTCTTTTACCATGTAAAGCAGATAAACAGAGTGTAGTCTCGATGCATGAAATAGGAGCAAATTTTAATTTTTCAATGCAAGACAGTTTAAAAATACTGTGTTTTTAGGAGTGGGCTATGATTGCAACTTAAAATTGCCAGAGCAAATTGATTCCGTACGTAAGAAATATCTAATATTTACGCTGGGGAGAATGTTAAACTCCTCAGCATTGCCAGATGTCTACTACGCGTGTGTACACTCTGTCATTTCATATGACATTGCTGCGTTGGGCCAGGCCGGTGAAATATCTAGGGTGTTTGTCATACAGAAGAGAATCGTTCACATAATATTTAAAATACTGTCTAGATCCTCTTGCTGTGAGATATTTGTTCCACACAAAATACTTACAGTAGCATGTATATCTCTATAAACTTTTAACATATATATGGATGGATGAAATTGAACTTCAATCCCCGAAGCGATAACACTGATAAAATTCAATATCGCTCAAAGGATTTCAAGTTTTTTTTATTACTTCATGTATAGTTTGACCACACTAATATAGTTACATGGCCGATTACATGTGATGGAATATTACTGATGTATTCAGGGGAATCAGATAAAGCGGTCGAACCAGACGTCTGGAGCCACGTTGTACCAGCAAAGTTTATATAAATGCATCCATTAGAACCGCTATTGAAGTTTTCATTATAATTTATCCGATTATCTCTCAGAACAAGTAGACCATAGGCTACACTCAGGCAAATTCCCCGTTGCCGTACTTCGGGCGTTTCCATTTACAAAGCCATAAACAAAACCAATATCCACTAACTCTTGATTGGAGAATAAAAATGGTATTTTTATAAAACTTACAAAAAAAAACAGGTAAAAGAAACTAAATTTCGTGCATTCACAATTGCAAAAAAACGTTTCAGGTTTCAACAGACAACAAAACTAACTGTCAACTAATTGACGTTTAACCTTATTCTGCTTTCAATTTTAAAAATAATTGCAGGCGCAGCCTACTTCTAAAAATTATCGAGATACTGACTTTTTAACGTTATTTTATCATAAATAATAAAAAATGCATCGAACCTTAAAAATCGAAATATCTCAAAAACAGCTAACTATAACGAAAATTCACAAGAGAGCTTTTTTATGTTGAAAAGTGCGAAGAATCCGTTTTTTTGTTCAAAAAGCAAAAAATTGCACTAAGAAAAAAATTTCGGTCATTTTAATACACTACAGGTACAGTAGAGAGCGCCCTCTAGCAGCTACAGTAAAACTATGCCCATGGTTCGTTTTGTCGTACCAAAAAACCCTTGTATACCAATTTTCACTGTTATACATCAAATATTGTTCGAAATATTTGAAAAAAACTATTTTTGAAAGTATTTCGGAAGCCACGCATTTTTCGATCCATGTTTATATACACTTTACGCGTTCATTTTAAAAGTTCTATCGAATCTTAAAGTTATGCAACAATAAACTGAAACACCCTGTACATGTATGTATTTATGTCTTAGATATTAATAGATATTATTAAAGTATGTTTGTGTATTTATTTTTAAAAAAAACTTTAAAATTGGTACCTATTTTTTACGATTCAAGTCACAATTAAAAAATATTTAAATTTTCCCATTTCTTCCAATTTTTCCTATGGTCTGGAAAAAAACGGAAAAAACGTGTTTTTTTATAATTTTTCCCGTTTTTTTCCGATATGTTAAATCTCCAGGTGGGATTGTTGTTTTCTCATGTTTATCATTCTATCATCGTCTTTTTATTGCCTGATCGTAGACTATGTTATCTGCATCTTTGACACCGTTTCTCACTGCCTTAATAATACGTTCCTCCATCCGAATGCGACATTCTACAGACTTGCTACCCTGCGTTTCCACACCGTTGCGTCAAAGTTATTCTCAGCGGCATACTCCATAAGTTCCTTGAAACCGTCCGTATCGAAAGTGGCAGAAGCGATGAGATCAAAGTCACCGTCTGCCAGGTGGCCAGCATATAACTTTTCCTTGGGCGGGCAGTTTTATTTCTGACGTTTGTTGTTTTACTTTTTCTCCTCGACGCATTCATTTATGAATTGCGTATTCTGCATTTTCTCGTCTAACGTTTGCTGATGCGAAGGCTGGATAAAATGCTGCTACCAGCTCGATTGGCAGACACTGCGGTTGCTGGTAGCACTTGTTCTGTTGCCGGCTGAAATTTGTCCTGCGACAGAGGTCAATCTTATTTATTATCTTGGTGTTTTTACACTAAATAAGATAAAGACATTAGCCTCATTCGGATAAAGTTGGCAGTGTTACAGCTCTGACAAGCGGTAGAGAGTAACGGCACACCGTACGCCACTGTCTATATGGCATTCCTTTGCATCGCCAAAGTCGGTGCGCTTCAGGTACACACCGCGTAAGCAGTGGTGTACAATGTGTTATCCCTCAATATAACGTTTCCAGCAACTCTAAAAATACGGGAATAGTTCAAGTTAGTGGAGATATAAATAATAAAAATCCCAGGGTTCGTTCAAGGGCATAGGCGTCCGCAGGCATTTTTATCAGGGGAGGTTGAACATCGCAGTCATGCCGGAAGAAAATGAGTCCTATTACGTTCCGGACAAACCCTGTATACTATAATTTAGTTTTGTTATATGAAAATTGTCCCTAACTCTTGTATCGTGACCAAGTACTTCATTATTAGAGCGTATGATTGCAATGTTTTGGTTGAAGCCCTTTAACCATTCTAAAGATGAACAGTATTGCCTTTTGGATATTGATAGCAACCTCAATGAATTTAACATAAATGAAATTGGTGTTGGACGTTTACACTTTAGTATAAAACGCATCCCAGAATTTTGAAGTTTTTGTGACTGACATATCTTCTAACGAAAACCTTGACCATGCTAGTGTCTGATATGATAAATTCCCCCAAGCATCAATTACAACGTTGTAACCACATGAAAACTTGTGCCCCTTGATTCTGAACCACATAGTTCGTCAATTGTGACGTAATAACAACCTTTGGGGCAGCTGAAAAGTAGAGGAACGTCAGTTACTAGAAATTTTAACGTCTATTTGTATTGTTCCAGAATGGTTACGTAGAATGCAAAAACAACTGCCCGAGAATCGACAACTGTTATCTTGCAGAGGAATCGGGAGAGGGATGTTGTCAGAAGTGCAAAGGTACGTACCTATGACTGAAAAAATTGTTTAAATTCTTAGAGGGTAAAAGTACTAGTTATTTTTTGTCCACGTGAGTTGGCTATTAAGAGTAGGTACACGTTGAGAGACAGTCCAGGTGATATCTTCGCATCTGATGGAAAAAATATTCTGATTCGGGCTTTTTGCATAATCTTGTTCAAAAGGGCTTCTTGCGTGAAAAATGTATTGAACACATCTGTTAAACAAGTTCCAAAAATCCTTTCTTTCGCTCCGATCATGGTGTTTTTGGATTTTCTGGAAAGGTGCTTTAGAACATTTCCCTAACATAGATAAAGGCGAGACAATATTTGAAAAAGCGCAAAATGTACCATATTGGACCCCAAGAAACAATATGGGAAAAGATTATGCAAAAATCTCATCAAACATTGCCTGCTGTTGATGTGATAAATAAAGACCTTGAATATCACTAAAGCTACTCGAAACATATGCTTGGACTTGAATCCGATTAAAAGTACAGTCATGTTATTCGGGCCGAAAAATTGGAGAGACCATTGTGAACCTCTGGTGAAGATAAAGCTCGATAACAATACTTCAGAAATAAGCTTGATAGAGAAGTTTTTGCCTTGACAAAAAAGATCATGTTAACAAGTGCTCCAGAAGGGCGTATTGTTATTTAAAGACGATACACGGTCAAAAATCTTACATGAACCAAAAAGCTAAGGTCATGCTATGCAATTCTCTTGTTCTGTCGCATTTTAGCTTCTGTGATGTCGTATATGGCAAATGTCTAACTAAATTCACCTCTGATAAAATACAACGCGTGCAAAATTCTTGTCTGAGACTTATTTTTGGTTTAAGAAAATACGGTTCAGTGTCATCAAAGCTTACTGATGCTGGCTGGCTGAACATAAAGCAAAGCAGACTTACACGAAAGAATTCATGTCCTTTACTTAGCTCATAATTGCAGTACCCGCAACAAAACAAAACTGACATTGCCTTTTCATTCTACCACCTCATTTGAAAGATCTTTTTCGTATAATATCAGTAAACTTTATAATAATATCCCGCGAAAGTATACTCCTCTTTCTATTGATTTGTTTAGAAAACGTATACGCTATTACATTGCAGGTAATTGCATGGTATGACTTTGGAGTCGTTATGTATTTTTATAGTAATATTTATCAAATTAGCCGCTAGGGTCCATTCTCTGATACTGCTTATACATACATATATTTTTTACCTCATTTATTTTTTCTATTTGATGTATTTGTGTTACGTGTCCGTACACTATATTTACTGCATGAGCTTATAGTACTGTGTACTCTGCTCATCTCAATTATCATAATAATAATAATAATATATATATATACACCTTGAGACGTGGTCATTGTCGTCTAGACCAGGTGAAAAAATAAAGCTTCCGCCTTTTGTTGGGTACTTTGACAAAATTTAAGCAAAGAGGAATCTTTATACTTTTTTAATTCTCTCTAGCTTTCAATGGACTTTGCCATCATCATCAGGAGCTGCAATTACAATGATAACAGTAGCAACAGTAGTGTAAAATGAATTTAAATTGACTCAACTTACAGTAGTATGTGAGGATGTTGCTAATTGTTGTTTACGTATAGGATGAGGGAAACGTCCAGTAATATGGTGAGAGCTGGATAGATGGTACAATGGTCAAAATTATATAAAATCTGACAAGAACAAGTTAAAAACAGATTAAAAATTATTTAAAAACATTAAAGCATTACATCGTGAAGCCACTTGATGATTGCACAAAATGGTGGTCATGGAATAATGAGTGAGATGAACCCTTTGACAGAAGGCCGAAGGTTGTCAATGTCTGTGTAGAAAGATGGAACGAATTGTGGGCGTATGTCAACGTTGCCAGATCTCTTAAAGGAAGGATTACATCACACAAAAGTGATTCTAGGCTTCATCCTGAAAGATGCGCTCTAGCATCTCATGTTAACACAACAGGGCATTCTATGAATTACACAAGTATCAAAGTTCTTGATAAAGAAAAACACCTTTCCAAACGTTTATTCCTGGAAATGTCCCACATTTTCATGAATAACAACTGTGTCTACAAAAAGACAGATATTAAACAACTGATTGTCATTTACTCATATTTGCTAAACTGCGAAAAATTGGAGAACTTACTTATCTCCCCAAATTTTGACTCTTCACAACCATAAATAGAATCTGTATCTTGGTCGATTCCACCAGTAAGTTGCATTCCACTCAAATTCTAATAATTCTCTTCTCACGATTTAATAATAATTGTTAATTTAATTTCCCATTAATTAAAATATAGTTTATTCAACTGTCTCTGGTCGGTTTAACAATTTCTTACATAACATTCTGAAAATCACATCATCTGAAGTGATTTGGCAACGTTGGCACACGCCCACAATTCGTTCCATCTTTCTACACAGACATTGACGACCTTCGGCCTGTCAAAGGGTTCATCCCACTCATTATTCCAAGACCACCATTTTGTGCAATCATCAAGTGGCTTCACGATGTAATGCTTCAATGTTTTTAAATAATTTTTAATCTGTTTTTAACTTGTTCTTGTCATATTTTATACAATTTTGACCATTGTACCATCTATCCAGCTCTCACCATGTTACTGGACGTTTCCCTCATCCTATACGTAAACAACAATTAGCAACATCCTCACATACTACTGTAAGTTGAGTCAATTTAAATTCATTTTACACTATTGTTGCTACTGTTATCATTGTAATTGCAGCTCCTGATGATGATGGCAAAGTCCATTGAAAGCTAGAGAGAATTAAAAAAGTATAAAGAGTCCTCTTTGCTTAAATTTTGTCGAAGTACCCAACAAAAGGCGGAAGCTTTAATTTTTCACCTATTTATATATATATATATATATATGCCTACCTTATTATGATGTAAAGCTAAAACCAGGGGTTAACTGGAAGAGCGGATATGCCGAATTTCGCCCTTCCCGCTATATGTTCATATAAAACTGGTTTTGCAACTTGTATTGTATTTCCTTTTGTGGGAATAAAGACACTATTATTATTATAGATGGGAATATATTGCCCGGACATTTAATAGATTATACTTTCAGTCTGTTCATTGTGTAGCCTACGGATCAAAATTTTGGGGTCAAGGGGTGGTAGATTGCACTTGAATTTTAGTCGTTATCAAGGAACGTATATTCCGGACTCGTAAATCGGAAATTGAACGAGACAATTCAATCATAAAAAGGAAATTCTAAAACAATTAAGAAGAATCTGCTGTCAAACTGACAACGCTGCCCATGACTAGCTGCTTTCCAGTGACCCTGTTGAGTTACCCTAAGCACCTCTGAGTAACTCGATAGAGCTCAACACCAGTACCGTCCAGTGCCTGTTGTATTCTCATCTAATGTTTCTGGAGCAGTTCGGGAGCGTATCACTCTCAAACCGGTGGAAAGCAGCTCAGCTTAAAAGCGCTACACCCCTGGGTCGCCTTATTTTGGGTACATGTGTCATTAAGAATATCATTGGCAAAATAATCCGTACAATAAGAAGTATATTTCTTGTATTCTTACATTAACTTCACCCGTAGGCTGCTGGTATCAAGGAGTCTACCACCAGAGCCATACAGAGTGGCAAAGTGCTGAGGATCCATGCAAAATCTTGCGATGCTTAGCTGGAGTGGTGACAGTATCCGATATGCAGTGCCATACGCCCTGTCCAAATCCTTTACCGCCTGAGCCTGGGAAATGTTGTCCGCGATGTCCAGGTAAGAATCACTTCCGTATTTCTGCAAAGCAGCGCGTATTGAGAAGTTTATGTTTCTGTCACAGTACCAGTGCATGTTGTTAAGATTGTGACGTCATGAAGTCCTGGTGTGGTCCTCGTACCATGTCACTTATGTTTCATTCCTGAATTCTGACACGCGTTACGTTATTCAATGGTAAGCCTGAAAAGTATCTCATCCAAGGTTGATTTTACTTCCAAAATGTGGTACAAAGTTGTTTGACATTAGTCTGTATATCTCTCGTAGAAGCTTTTATGTTTACATTCATAATTATACGGGATGAATACGAAATCAGCCTTTCAATGGAAGATAAATTATGTTCAGGGCACGCATTGAAAGATAATAAAAATGATTGCACGCTTTCTTATTTGAGCCATTCAGGCATTTTAGTACAGGTAGGTTGCGTTGAAACTCTATAAGGTTTAGACTTGAGCCCAATATTATTTGTCAAAGATTCTCAAATTGTTTAGTACTCTTGTGGATTTCCGTAGATGCTGAATCTATAGAACGACATATTACAAGATGAATGTGATTGCTGCTGAATTCACGTCGTGAAGCAGGAATAATTTCTTAATTATCTCAAAAGAAATTATTGTAGAATTTCTGTTGAAATAGAATCTGACCTTATTGGTCTGTCAAACTCTACAAAATTTCTGGGACATCAGATTGATGAGTTGGAGAACTGAGCAAAAAACGGAGCAGAAATTGAGAAATTGTGACATCTATCCAGTTCAGTGTACATCAGAGTGATAAGGATCTATTGGTCACTAAATATGTATAATGACATTTTGAAAAATGGTTTAGACAAAATCAATTATTTTTAAACTCGGAGAATACTGCTATGGTAAGATTTCATAATGTAGAGAAGAAGTTAGATGACATGAATATCAGGTTAAATGACAAACAGATCAAGTTCCATGACGACACCAAATTTTTGGGAGTATATAAATATTTATATCTAAAAGCACATTGCAAGCATATGATGTCAGTTCTAAATTCACATACATTTATAAAAAATTACGAAGTGTTCTAATTTAAGATAAACTTATCAGTCTATACTATGCACAGGTTGAATCCAGGCTGAAGTACTGTCTTTGATTTTGGGGTACATCAAGTGCAATGATAGATGTGTTTATATGCCAGAAAAGATATGGAACACTTAATTTGCCTGGTTTATATAATTATATATATACAGGGTGACTTCGAAGTTGAGTCATTTGTTTTAACAGTGAGTAGATCTGATCAAAAGAAATGTTTTTTTCCTTTACCATTTTTCTGGTAAAATTAAAGTAACAAAGTTATAGCCCTTTGGAAGTTTGAGTACCGCCCTGTCTCAATAATAATATTATGTGCTCGTGTTTGGCAACAACGGATATAATCCGCCTTATCGGTTCATCGCATCGGAAACAAAAAGGCGAAAGAATTTGGAACGATGTTTTTACAATTATTTTATTCAGTTGTATACAGTCAGTGTCAGTCGGTAACGCGTGAGTGAATAGTGGTGTCTGTTGCGTGGCTCAAACGAAATCAAAAATGGCACATGTTTACGAAAATGCTGAACTTGTGGACATGATTCTTATTTACGCGGCATCACGGATTTATGCGGATCGGTTTCCCAATCGAGTGCAACCAACCCCTCGTGCCTTTGTTAATGCAGTACAAAGGGCTCGTGAGTCAGGTGACTTAAGACCTCACAGGGGAGGCCATGCCGGTGCTCCAAGACTGCACGATCAAATACAGGTCCGAACTGAAATACTTGCCGGGAGGATACTTTATAAAACAAGGTAACATTATTTTTTTAATTTTTTTTTATTTCTACACACATATTTTGGTTTATCTTCCTTCTACAATCATTATCTGAAAATTAATGACTCAACTTCAAAGTCAAAGTATATGAATTGGGTGTGTTAACGTATGTGAATATATGAAGCTATTTAAAAAATAAAGATGTTCATGGACTATATACAAGATAATCTAACCAATTATAATTATGTACCTTTTGTGAAATGCAATGTATCCAGGAAGTCTCGACTTTCATAGTCGCATTAACTTTTTTACAAAGATTGTAGGACTTAAAATAATATGATTTAAGTATATTGTCATCTCTTATCAGTCCGCTTTGAGAGTCGTTATTGTCTGATGTGCAGTCAAAATCATCAAACAGAACACAGCATGATACTTATAGAAAGTAGGTACCAGCTAAATTGCCTAATTGCTGACATATACTGCCCTCGGTTCTATTGGAAAAAATTCTATATGCAACGGGTTATGACATTAACAGTAATTGACTGAGTGGGCTGATATACCTGGACGATCAAAAGAAAAAGGCAATTGTCATTCGGAAACCTTTACAGAAGCTGGTATTCTAATTTTCCTGGGCCAATTAATGAAGTTTGCGTATGCTGAACGAGAAATTTTTGCAAGGAGACACAGCTGGGCGCTTTCAATGGAACATGGAATGTATAAAAGGCTCGCTCGTACGTCCGTTATTTATGGCGACGCGAATGAGAAGGGCGCAGGTAGAAGTCTTCATTCAAAGGGTACATAATCATACGAAATTGCAAACTTTCGATTTTTTTCCTGTCAACTAGCTTTGTATATATACTAAGTGACATATAAATCCGAACACCCAGTTTAAATGGTTTTATTTTAATAAAATTTTGTATAAGTAATTAATGAAGCATAATAAGTAAATAATAAAAATTTCAAAATGATTGCACTGCTTTAAAGCCCTTGGACTTTTAATAATGTGTGGATGCACCCTGATATGCTACGCATTCTCCAATGCGCCTAGGCATGCTTCTGATCAGGTGGTCAATGTCCTCCTGTGGTATCTCATTCCAGGCAACCACCAACTCCTCTCGAAGTGCCTCTAGAGTCTGAGGAGGACGTTGCAAATTGAGCAATCTCCTACCCATGATATCCCACACGTGCTCAATTGGGGATAAGTCGGGAGATCTTGGTGGCCATGGTAACAATGTGACATCATTATGTTGAAAGAAGTCTATTGTGACTCTTGCAACATGTGGTCGGGCATTATCTTGGTGGAAAGTTGGATCTGCCAGGGTGTCAAGATAGGGTAAAAGATGGGGTTCTAGAACTTCGTGCGCGTTCATGTTACCTCTGATGAAGATTAAAGGTGACCTGGAACCGTAAGCTATAGCACCCCAAACCATAACTCCAACAGTGTGATGAACATGTCTTTCAACAAAAAACTGTGGATTCCTCCTTTCACCACGTCGCCTTCTAACCCTGGCACGACCATCGTGCATGCCTAAACAAAATCGAGACTCGTCACTAAAGACGATCCCAGAGTGACCGTTGTCTGCACCACTCAAGGCGATTACGTCGGTGTTCTCGAGTTAAAGGGAGGAACTTTTTATTCGTGGGTAAACACTTCGCATGCCAATAGGTCTTCCGTGTTCTGCAAACCATTCATTTGCAATGAACCTGGTAGTAGAGGACCGGTCCCTTAAGGCCAATAATCTTAGGCGGCGATCTTCACGGTTTGTTGTTCTACGGCAGCGTCCAGTGCTCCTTGCTCTTTGCGTACGGCCTTCTCGAAGCCATGCCTGACAACACCTAACCACAGTGTCTACACTTCTTTGCACTCTAACTGCAATTGCCCGAAAAGAAAGTCCAGCTTCCCGAAGTCCCACTATACGGCCCCTATCAAACTCACTAAATTGACGAAATCGTGCAGGTCTCCGTACTCTAGGCATCGTAACCGATCGTAAAGGATGTCAAGAACCAAAATCCGCCAACGTTGATTCTTTATTGCGGCTGAAATATTCATTTTTAGAGCGTTAGTGAATTAAAAAAAAGCATTATAAAACCGGAATGTCCAACTGTTATTTACAGTAAGATAAATACATTCACCAACTTTTATTAAATAGAACCATTTAAACTGGGTGTTCGTATTTATATGTCACTTAGTATAAAAAACAGGATTCTTGGTATGAGGCTGTGGATGTCCTCTAGATACATTCTGTTTGTCGTCTACTTCATAATATAATCACGAGTTACAGTAAGTAATGGCACATACAAACCACAAGAATCATGATAGAACTTGTCTCACATCATGAAAGATACGTACCAAGTTCCTGCTTCTTTCCTTTCCTGTCTTTATATCTATGCAAAAGCCTGAAAGGTAGTCCTATAAACCGTCCCTGGGACTTCTTGTATATATAAAATACAGGGTGGTTCATCGAAAATGTAGATTTTTATCTCTTGAAGAAATGATGAATCTCTAGTTAAAATTTCTTGAAACTCAAAAACCTCGCAGCGGCAACAATAAGACAGATCCCACAATATCTTTGATAACAATGCATGAAAGTCATCAGTCTCCATCATGTAATTTCTATGGTGTCTCCAAAGCATCGAATTGCATTTCACATGACACATATCTAAATTAGAAGCATAGCGATTCAGCACAAGCATCTTCAAGCTAAATAAATCGTTACTTACTGACTGAAGCTACGTCTGCATTAGACTTTATACGTTAAGGTGTTCCCCGGGGATCTATGCTAGGTCCCAGATTATTTTTAATTTACGTAAACGACATTCAGAACTGTGATCCTCAATCAAAATGTATTCTGTTTCCAGAATGACCCAATCAAAAGATTTTAAATTGTGGTGCTTTCATTAAATTTAACCGGTAAATAAGAAATAGCCATACCCAAATAGTTCCTGCTATACTGTTGACGAAGCAGCTAGTCAACACAGATTAGATAACGTCGCTACGTGATTTAAAAGAGATTATCTGTTTATATAGTCGCATCTCAGGTATACGTTCGTCGTCCCATTTAAATAAAATCCTCATCAATCCACCGTTTCAACTAATTTTTGCTACAAAGTATTACTTCACTGACGTACTTTCATCAATGACTCAATTAGTTTCCGTTAAAAACAGCAATTTGCTCAGTTTTTCTCATTCCCACGTCAATTTCGCATGTAATTGAGAACCGTAAGAGGCTACAGAT